GCCCCCCCGTCTGTCTGTCTGTCTGTACTCCCCTAGAAGTATTTTGCCACATATAAAACCGCCATTGTGTCCTTTGCGGCCACCTCCCGAGTCTGTTTCTTTGTTTCTGCCACAGGTTGCCAGCCGAAGCATGTGGGAACTGCTGACATGCAAGGGTCATTGAAGGGTGGGGTGTGGGGAATAAGCAGCGCCCCCAGTTGTTCACTCAACAAGAGAGCAGGTGCTTTTACTTTGAGGCTCTGTGGCAGAAGCTGCGAGGCCAACCTCATCTCCCTATTCAGCCCCACGCCTTACCTGCCTCCCCAGGTGTAGAGCCAGGGAAAAATGGGAAGCTCCAGTGGGGACGTGGATTGTCACTAAGTCAGTGAGTGGATGCACCCCCACTGGCACGGTCAAAACATGCCCCTATTTTTCTGTTCCTCTGGGCTCAGCTGCTCCCCCACACCTCAGGAGAGGGAGAGGCTGAGTTGGCTTCTTCCTCCACTGATGTCCTCACAAACACCCCCCACTCAGTCCCAGCCCTGGGGGAGGGAGGGCCTACTAGGTAGGACAGGGCAGAGAAAATTGGATGCTCCCCCAGCTGCAGTCTGGGAGAAAAGGTGCTGGAGAGAGCAGGTGACTGCCAGACTCTGCCAGCTGGCAGGAAGTGGGCTTCTGACTTGTTAGCACTGCCAACTGTATGCTGCCTCACATGGCACCCACAAACTTTTCCCTGGTTCTTGTTTCTGGGGTGGTGGACCAAAAGGACTAGAGCTCCTGCTTCACCTGAAAGCCTCTGCCCCAGGTGTGTTTGTGTGTGTGTGTGTGTGTGAAGGGCAACAGACATGCAGACACAAGGGAAAGAGGCATGCCCACAGGTCACATGTCTTGCCTTGGTTGCAGTTTTGAGTAGATTGAAGGGCTTGCCTAGAAAGGGCTGCAACACTCCAGGAGAGAATGAGGGAGGTTTGCACCAGGCCGCAGCAGGGGAGCCGGAAGACATCTAGCTGTTAGAATCCAGAGCCCTTGGAGAGCATCTGGAGGTGGCCAGTGGGGGAGGAAGTATCTCAGATGACTTTGATGGAGCACCATGTTCAAGGCAGAAACCATGTTTAGCTTAGGACTAGGTGGGTTTATGGTCACTGTGAGAGGAAATCCCAGAAAATAGAAGACAGCTGGGTGCTTGGTCTGGCACTCTGCAGAGATCTCCATTTGGGAGCAGAAATTACTATTTTTTTTGAAGATTTATTTATTTATGCACACAAGAACTGGGGCACAGGCCAGAGGTGCCAGGGGTGAGAGGATCCACCAGAGACAGAGTGGGGAACAGAACAGGCAGATATACTGAAATACATTGCTGAGGAGAGCAGCAGGCGTGACAGGAGAAGTCTGCTGCACCTTGTGGGTCAGCTCCCTGGCAGATTGGGGATCAAACTCATGCTGCAGAGGCTGTGGATAGCTTCACGGTGCTGTGCTTAACTCCTTGTGACCCTACCTTGTGCTTAACCCCAGGGACCCTACCTTGCTTCCGGGGACCAGTCGCTGGAACGGGCCACCGGGGAGCACACCAGAGTGCACGAGTACCCCGGGGAGCTGGGCCAGCCCCAAGGCCATTACCCCAGCAGCCACCCACCAGGCCGGGCGGGCACTCTGCACTCCCCAGGGAGACCCTGGGGATAGATTTTTTTTTTTAAGATTTATTTATGCATATAATAACTGGGGTACAGGCCAGAGGTGTAGGGGGGTGAGAGGATCCACCAGAGACAGAATGGGGAACAGAAGAAGCAGACTGACTGAAATACACTGCTGAGGGGAGCAGCAAGTGAGATAGGAGAGGTCTGCTGCACCATGTGGGTAGCTCCCTGGCTGGGGATCGAACTCGTGCTTCAGTGGCTGTGGTTTGCTTCATCATAGTGCTGTGCTTAACCCCTTGCACCACCAGGGAGGCCCGATAGAGATTATTAATTGCAGTTCAGAGAGGTTAAAAAACTTACCCATCATTACAAAGCCATGGAACAAAAACTTGAACTGAGCTCTTTGGATTTCAAGTTCTGTGGGGCCTGGGATCCCACAAGTCAAGTGTTAATTCTCATGCCCCAGGATGCCTCAGTGTCTACAAGGGGAAGGAGGGCCAGGGAAAAGGAAACTTGTCTGGATATATTTCTGTCTCCCCACATGCCTTCTCCCTGAAATTGTCTTTGCCCAGAACTTGCAAGCAGAGACTTTTCGAGATGACTGGAGATACTGAGAGGTGGAGGGAGATTCTTATCTCTGGGTAACCACAGGCCTTCAACGGATGCATAGTTAGACCTTGGTGGCTGTCAACAAGTGCGGATTTCATCAACCACGAAGTCAGCTAGGGCCAGAGATTGGTGGTACTACCACAGTCACTGAGGAGGCGGGAACTGAGGCACTGAGGGCCCCTCCTACCTGGTACCCCTCATCCTCCCTAACAGTTTCTGTTTTTATCCCACAAAGAGCTGAGACCAGAGAAGCCTTGGTCCTAGTGTAGCTGAAGGCTTCCAGCATTAAGTGAGTTAAGCTGGGGCCATCATGGCTTGGGAGTGAGGGGGATGTTCCCATCCAGCAGCCTAGAGAAAAATCCTGTCTTAGCCCCAATAATCACAACCTCAGAGCAGTGTGCCTCGGCTCTCTTCCAAATCAGGCCTTCCCACCCTACTGTCTCTCAGGGTTCTTTGTTCTGTAAGCTCCATCAGCTCCAGACTGGGTCTGTTTTATCAATTTGGCATGTTTCCTCACTCATATTTGTCAAATAAGCTAATAAATGAATGAATGCACCCTAAGACCCAGGGCCTCATGGAGGAGACTGCACTTGCTCTTCTTGTCTATTTGCTGAATGTGCTCCAGCTAGTGGAGTGTCACTTTCAATTCTGTAATTGGTGATGGGGGTGCGGGGCAGGATGCACTGAGAGGTTCCTTCTCCTCGTCTGTCCCCCAGAAACAGATGGTAAAAAGGCTTAAAGCATTCCTGCTTCCTCCAGCACCCTTCTGTGTCCCCGTCCTACCGCACCTGCTCCTTTCCTAGGGCCCACAAAACTCTGGTTGTCGATTCTCCTTCCTTCTGACTCTAGGTGCCAAGCTAGGTGGGAGCGGGGAGAATTCTGTACTTAGGGAACTGCTTTCCCTTCTTTCTCTGCTTTCCCAACACACTTCCCAGTCTTCCTCAATCCTCTTTTGTTTTTTTTTTTTTAAAGATTTTATTTATTTATACATACAAGAACTGGGGTACAGGCCAGAGTTGTGGGGGGTGAGCGGGTACACCAGAGACAGAGTGGGGAACAGAACAGGCAGACTGACTGAAATGCACTGCTGAGGGGAGCAGCGGGTGAGACAGGAGAGGTCTGCTGCGCCATGTGGGTTGCTTCCTGGCCGGGGATCGAACTCGTGCCGCAGTGGCTGTGGCGAACTTCATAGGTTGCGTCTTAACCCCTTGCACCACCAGGGAGGCCCTTCCTCAATCCTCTTTAACTTGTACTTATCCCTTGTTTTAATACTTTTACATCATTTCTCAAACTGTAGCTTACTCATTGTATTTCAGTCCAGTTGCAACACACTCCTACCAAGTACCAAGTGCCAGGCACTGGACCTGGCCCAGAGTGGGCAGATGTGGTGAACAAGACATGATCCCACCTCCTGAGCTCACTGGTGATTGGAGGAAACAGACCTGCCGGTCAACAACTTCAGTGTAGGGACAAGCCCCACTCCCTTGACTGGAGACCACAGGAGACCCAGGACAGAGCTTGGGAAGTAAACGGCTTTCATGGCAGGCAGCTACGTGGTTTCGGGAATTCTCCTTCCTCAGAAGTCAAGGGCATTTAGGTGGAGGAAATGCAGATGCAGAAGCACAGTGGGATAGAGCTGGGCCCATGTGGGCAAGGACCAGTGGATGCGGAACCCAGGAGACAAACCTGCAAAGGCAGGTGGGGGCTGTTCATGGAAATTCTTGAATGTCAGGCGAGGAAACAGCTGAGGCCAGTGGATGCTGGGAAACCAGTTAAGGTTGAGCTGTGCTAAAGATGGTTGATGGGGCGGTGAGGATGCCCTGGGTAAATGGTAGGCAGTTCAAGGGTTGATCCTTTAGTGGAGGGGAGCACACATGGGCTCCAGGGGGGCAGTGGGGTGGAAGAGGCAGGCTCTCCTGTGTGATGACTGGCGTCTCTTAACCACCCCCTCGGCCTGGGGTTCGTCTGCCTCTCCTACTTCCCTTTTCATTTTCTGTGTTTTCCCCAGTTGAAGCAAAGAAGGAAATTCACAAACCACAACAGGCTCCCCGTCCTGTCTCCCCACCCCATGCCCTTGTCCAGATTCTCCTCTGCTGCCTGAGATCGGGACCTGCTGTACGTTCTCTGGCTGAGCCAGCTCTCCTTGCTCCACGCCTGTTTCTGGTGCCCACCCTCGGGAGCCAAGGAGCTGTTTCTGAGCCGCCCATTTGCCAGTGACTGCTAGACGCAGCACAACTTTGCTCCCAGAAGTTGCCTGTTACCCAGGGACCCGCAAAAGGAGGGCGTGCCTTCTCCCAGGGAGCTCACTTTGACAGAGTTCAGACTCTGTGAAACAACTAGAGATGGGTTGTCTAGGGTATTTCCCCAGCTCAGAGAGGACCCTGAGCCATCTGCTCACACAGCTGCCAGGTACAACGGTAGGTCTCACTTTTTGCTTCAGTCTAGTGCCCCAGACAAGGCACCGGAAGAAGGGGAAGCTGGGATGGGATTGTGGGTCCCTGTGCTCAGTATCCTGGATTTGCAGTGGGGGACCAGGTGCCCAGAGAACTCTGAAATGTTCTCAGGTTAATGGGGAATACGGGAGTCTGGATGCCATTTCCTGTGCCTCTCTGGACAGGCAGCTTGCTGTCATCTTAGGGCCCAGGAGGGGCCAGCGATCTCAGGGGGTTCCCAGCCTTTGGTGACAAGTGGGGCCTCGTGACCTCATTGGCAAAACTTGCCCGATCCTCCCCGGGGCGGGGCTCCGAGCCTCGGGTCAGACCCCGGTGGGCGAGGGCCGCGGAGTCCCTGCCTCTGCCGGGCCGGGCCCGCCATGGGCCATCTGATTGCTAAGCTAATGGGCGTCTTCGTGAAACAGGGTAAGGGGCGCACAGATTTTCCAAGAGGCCGCTTTAATCCTCCTCTCTCCTGGGCTCCCCTGATCTGGAGTCGTCGGGGCAGAGGCGCTGAGGCGGGGGACCTCGGGCTTGGGGGGTCCTGCCTGCGCGCTCCTCGCCTGCTCCGCGGCCTCCCCGGCCCCCTCCCGAGGGCCCCGCGAGTGGCGCGTCTCAGTGCGCCCCCGGGCCGGGGGCTGAGCGAGTCTCCTTCCTCCTGCTAAAGCCGCCATCCGTTCCCCGCGACTGTGACTTGGCGCTCTGCTCGCTCTGCTCTTTGCCCGCCCTGCTCTGGCTTGGCCGGCACCGCGCGCCTGAGCCCCTTGGCACTTTCACTTTTCTGGAAATGGGGAGCGGGGCGGAGGGGCTCTGCGCTGGTTTTCACTCTTGCGAAATGATGCAGGTGTCGGGCCCGAGGGAAGGAAGCCTGTCCTGCTGGTATTGTGTGTGTGTTGGTGGCGTAGGGTGGGGTGGGGTGGGGTGGGGAGCAGAGGTCCCCCAGCCTGCTGGGGACACTTGCCTCCTTCCGGGGAGGCCTGGTGGGGCACACGGTCCCTCGGTCATCGGCTTTGGCCCTGACCTTGTCCTTCCCTCGGATGCCCCCAGAGCACAAAGTTATCATCGTGGGCCTGGACAATGCGGGGAAGACCACCATCCTCTACCAGCTGTAAGTGCCTCTCAGGTGGGGGAAGTGTGTGTATTTGGGGGGGGGGCGGAGGGACTGGGCTTCCGACCAGACCGACAAGCATTTGACCCATCACCGGAGCCCTTTCTTGGGTTCCCGGGTTTCCCCGCAGTGAGGAGAGAGAGTGGGGTGCGGGTGTGACCTTCGCTCTGCCCCGCGGCCCCGCGGCCTGGCCCTGGAGACCTGCGCGGCGCGGGGACCCCCTCTCCTCGCGCCGTGCACCCCCGGCAGCGCCAAAGCGGTGGCTGGCTGGACGCCTCTTCTTCCTGCTCTTCGCTGCCCCTCGTGGCAGGTCTTCCCTTCTAACTCCTGCACCCCGCTTTGTCTCTTCATTTTCTCCCCCTTTCTTCAAACCCAAAGGCGAGGGCCCAGCTGTGGGTCCGGCTGGGTGGGTCGCAGCTGGCTCGGCAGAGGCAGGCACGCGGGCGAGGCACCTCCCTCCCAGCCTCCCTGAGGTTCACTCTGCGCCTCGCTCTCCTGTTTTGGAGCCTCCAGACCATTAGGACAGACTCCCTCCTGAAGAAGTAATGTGTGTAACTAGCTTCATTTTTTTCTTTTTAATTAGAAAAAAAAAAAGAAAAAATATCGCACAATGCAAGAGTAAGTTTCCCTCTCACTCCTTGCTCCTAGCTGTACTCCCCAGGCCTTTACATTCCTGACATGTGACATGTACATTGTGGTTTGTGTCGCTTTAAACAAAATACCTATGCAATGGCCTTTTTTCCTAATCCCTTTTTCCCTAATCCCTTCCTACTCAAAGTGTGGTCCTGGGACCGGCAGCACTGGCATTATCTGGAGACATTGTAGAAAGGCAAATACTTTGGGCCCCAACCACTGAAACTGCATTTTAATGCAACCCCCAGGTGACTCAACTGCAGATTCAAGCTGGGGAGACTGCTCTACCCACAGTAGAGCCAGGGCAGGACTTGGTCTCCTTTCCTCACTCCCCTGTGCCCAGCAGATGCTCAGGGAACTTGGACTGAGTTGTTCTGAGTTAGAGTCAGCCTTTTGGGAGCAGCCTGACTTAGGAGCAGAGCTGGCAATGGACTGAGATGAATTCTTCGCACACTCTCCTTCCCCAGCCTGATGAACGAGGTGGTCCATACAAATCCCACCATCGGCAGCAACGTGGAGGAGATTGTCCTGCAGAAGACCCATTTCCTCATGTGGGACCTAGGGGGGCAGGAAACCCTGCGCTCTGCCTGGACTGCGTATTACTCCAACACGGAGGTGAGGAGGCACTTGGCCTGGAGGGGCCTCCAAGGCAGCGGGTGTGACATTAGCCAGTTACTTAACCTCTCTGAGTCTTCCACTTGTGAGGTGGAGCTCCATCATGACCTCCCTTGGTGGTGGTAAAATTAAAAAATAAAACAACAGTAATTGTATATGTGTCAAATATTACAGCCAGCACAGTGCCTGATAACATTTTTGAATACTCGCTGGCCTCTTTCTGATGGACACAATGGTTGGGTAGGTCCTTCATCGCCTTGGGGCTTACTTTCCCACTCTGGCAGTGGTAGAATTCAGTGCTTTAAGGGCCTCCCTGGTGGCGCAAGGGGTTAAGGCGCAGCCTATGAAGCTGTCCGCAGCCACTGTAGCATAAGTTCGATCCCCTGGCCAGGGAGCTGCCCACATGGCACAGCAGACCTCTCCTGACTAGCCCGCTGCTCCTCTCAGCAGTGTACTTCAGTTGGTCTGCCTGTTCTGTTCCCCACTCTGTCTCTGGTGAGTCCTCTCACCACCACCCCTACACCTCTGGCCTGTGCCCCAGCTCTTGTATGCACAAATAAATTTTTTTTTAAGATTTTTTTTTTTATAGAGGCATGTTTTTATTTATTTGTTTGTTTGTTTTTTTGTTTATACAAGCACTGGGTACAGTCAGAAGCGCGGGAGGGTGAGAGAATTCACCAGAGCCAGAGCGGGGAGCAGAGCAGGCAGAAGGACCGAAGTACACTGCTGAGGGGAGCAGTGGGCGGCAGGAGAGGTCTGCGTGCCATGTGGGACCCTCCTCTGGTGACCAGGGAGCAGCCGGGGATCGAACCGGCGCTGCAGAGGCTGCAGGCAGCTTCGCAACCCAGCGCTCAACCGCTGCGCCACCGGGGAGGCCCAATAAATCTTTTAAAAAAAAAGTCAATTAAAAAAAAAAAAAAAGAATTCAGTGCTTTAATTCCTGGAGTCAGACAGAGCTAAGTTCAAATTCCAGCATTGCCACCCACCAGCTGTGTGGTTGAGGGCAAGCTTAGTCATCTCACTGAACCTCAGTCTCCTCATTTGTGAAATGGGGATCAATATGGCTCCACTTCACATGGTTATGGAGCTATGCCCTGGTGCTAAGCATTGCTTCTGGCAACAAGCAGAGTCTGTGCTTGTACCCAGGTGGGGGCGGGGGGGAAGGGAGCTAGAGCATTGAGATCTTGAGATGGGACAGTGGTTTTCTGGGGAGCTTACTTATGGGCAGTGCAGAGGCCAGTGGGGAAGCACTGGGGCAGGAGACCCCTTCACCAAAGAGAAAGCCCATCACTCACAGTTGCCCTCTGCCGGCCAGTTCATCATCCTTGTGATTGACAGCACCGACCGGGAGCGACTGCTGACCACTCGGGAGGAGCTCTATAAGATGCTGTCCCATGAGGTAAGCCCCTGGGGGTCAGGAGGGCCCAGTGTACTAGCCGTGTGACCTCAGCCTACTCCCTCAACCTCTCTGAGCTTCATCCTTGATGCCCCAATCTCTGAAAGCCTCTCTCTCATTAGTGTGGACCAGGCTAGTTTATCCCAGATGAAGGACAATGATGCCCTCAGCACAATTGAGCCCAGAGTTGCTTGGTTCAGGTCCTAACTCTACCTCCTACTTATTGTGGGGATCCTGGGCAAGTCACTGCATCTCTATGCCTCGGTTTCCACAAGTATAAAATGAGGGAGATCAACAAACTCCCACCACCTGGCATTCTCGAGACACCCCTGGGCTGGTTGGGAGGCATCTTGCAGCTATGGTGTTAGTTGCTGTGGCTGCTGCTGTTGCAGGCCAGTCAGGGAGGACTCACGGGATTATGAGAAGGGAGGCTGGGCCCCGGCAGGCTGATCAGGACTGGGATCCTCTGTCCACAGGCCCTGCGAGATGCTTCTGTCCTGATCTTTGCCAACAAGCAAGATATGAAGGACTCTATGACCACTGTGGAAATCTCCCAATTCCTTACCCTCAGTAACATCAAAGACCACCCTTGGCACATACAGGGTTGCTGTGCCCTCACCGGAGAAGGGTTAGTGGCTGCCCTACCTGGGCCTACCTGGGCTCGCTCCAACCAATGGACAACTGACCACCAGAACCTTTTCCTGTCAGCATCTGGCTCACAGATCCTGAGTCAAGTAACTTGAGCACCTCCCACAGCTGAGGTGCTGTGGGTAAGCGGTGAGCAAGGCAGAGTTCTTGCTGTCAAAGGGAAGACAAAGTCCTTACTCTAGTGGGGAGAGAGGTGACAATCCACTGAAATCCCAACCCCAACATTTGAGGTGGTGTAACTGGAAGACTGGAGCTCAGACTATCTGTCATCATCAAACGCCAATAGGGACGGGAATTGAATCTTTAAGGTGCACATTACTCAGACAGCCACCAATCTGGAAGATGGAGGGTTAACATCCTAAAGGAACTGCCTTAGCATTTCATTTCCAGTTGGTTTTTTATAGTGAGTGGAACAAAGGCAGTTCAGCAGCAAGCAGGCCCACACTGCTGCCAGGAGCTTGTGACGTCCAGCCCAAGGAACCACCCATTTATGGCAGTGACCTTGCCACCCCCTGGCTCAGGAAGATCCCTCATCCCCCAACCCACAGTCAGTTCAATTCAACCAGTATTTCCTAAGTAGTCCCGCTCCCCATGCTGAGTCAGGTGATGCTGACGTGACCAACACCCCACACTGGCTCACAGTCTAATGGGGGAACTTGCTATGAAGCCTCAGGACTTTGGAGTCACCCTGGCACTGCCCCCAGTGATGGAGACGGTGAAAGGGGGCATCACAGCCTTGCCCAGAGACACTGCTAAGGTGTGTCCTCTGATTCCCAGAGGCTAATGCACCCTTCCTTTGTAACCTTTGTCACAGCAGCGCAATTGTATGCCCTACTGGGTGTTTCTGTTTTTCCACCAGTATCTCCAGCCCCTGGCACAGTGCCCAATGCATTGTATGCATCCACCTGTTTATATTTGTTGGTTGAAAGATTGGATGTAAGTTAGGTCTCCTTCTCAGTCTGCTGGGGACTGGGCCCAGGGTCTTGAAGACCATCATCCTCTTGGGATATGCTGAACCTTGCTGTTCCTCCCTCCCTGCAGGCTGCCGGCCGGGCTACAGTGGCTGCAATCTCAGGCCACTGCCAGCTGACATGAGGCCAAGCAGAAACTTTGGGGACTTTGCATGGATCACGTTGGTGGAATGCTCAAGTGACTTACCTTCCTAAGGTTCTCTGGAGGGCGCAGGGGCAGCTATGGACAGTGAGCTTGCCAGCATCCACTTAGCCCCCCACTGAGAAACTGACACACCTGGAATTGCTGCAGACAGGACAACAGAAAGGACTGTCCCTCACTCCGTGGAAGCAGGTGTTCTTGGAGACACTAGGGAAGCTGTTGCAATGTTGTGGGATTAGGAAGTAGAGCCCACTCCCTCCAGCCCTCAACCTCTCTGTAGGACAAATGGGGGGGGGGGCAGAGTAAGAGACTCCTGGGATTGCTCTTAATTTCCTAGAACCCTACCTCCACCTTCCTTACCACAGCTCCCTTCACCCCTCATTCCATTTTCTTGCCCCTCTTTCATCTTTATTCCATATTTTGCCTTTAGGCAAAGAAGATTCCAGAAATCTGGTGGGCTCAGGGATAAGAGGGCAGAGTCAAGAACTGGATGGCAAGAGAGAGGAGTGACATTCCAGAGGGGAATGTCCATGGCCTGCAGGGGCTCCTTTCCCTCCCCTTCTGGTACCCTGGGAGATGCTGGCTCTGACTACAGCTTCTGAGTGTTAGTCCCTCCATCCTTGGCCTGCAGTGGGATCCCTCTCCTCCCAAATGGCCCAGATACCTAAAAGTTCTTCTTCACTGTGTGTCTTTTTGTAATGATTTTCCTCTCACGATGTATTCAGATTTTTCATAAATGTAATAAATGCCATTAAATAAATAGCATTAATAAATGCCATTAAAAACTGCTCACTTGTTATTTTTCCTTGCGCCTTCTGCCAGGCTCCTTCTGCCTGGCTTTGGTTTTTGTACAAAGCTCTGAGGCTAGGGGAAAATCTGCTTTGGCAATGGAGGGTTGGGGGCTTCCAGTCCATTTGGCTGGGAACTAGCTTTTTAGTCCTGGGCTCTGCCTGGCTAGCCATGACTGGGAGACTCTGGGCTCTGTTGGGCCTGTGGGAGAGATACTGACTCCATGGAGTAGGAACCCTAGAGGTTGGAAAAGCCCAGGAATTCTCTCTAGATGGAAAAGAAGATGGGCTGGAAACCCAGGCTGCCCATCTGGTATATAGGGAACAGTGCTCTTACCCCACAAAACCTGGGAGGTTCTGAGGTCTCCTTCACAAGGCAAGCAATGGGCCTCTCTAGAAACAGATACAGAGGGTTTAGAAATCCTTAATGCTGTGGTTGTCCCCAGGTGTGATTGTGGAGGAAGAACCCAGGAATTCTACCCGTGCCCACTCAGCTTCTGTATTCTTCCCATCAAATTATTCAGGCACAATTTACAAATAATGTAGTGAGGGAAATTTGATAGCAGTTCCTTATTTCATAGAAATTTATTCTAATGGAAAACACTTCTCGTGTTGGGGGTATAGCTCAGTGGTAGAGCATTTGACTGCAGATCAAGAGGTCCCCGGTTCAAATCCGGGTGCCCCCTCGCGCACCGGGTTTTTCCTGTTTTCTTGTTCCACTCGCCCACCTCTGAACCCCCTTGCGAACTGGAGTGTGGACGGGTCTTTGGCCCTCGCCAACCTCTTTTGCGGTCGAGTGGGCATGGAGACCCGGGCCCTGCCTGGCCCTGCGCTCAGCGTGTGTATGTGCAAGCGAGGGTCAGGAGCTCCGGGTCGATCGGTTGGTAGGCGGTGTGGACGGCTGGTCACTGCACGGCGCAGGCAGGAGCACCACCAGGTCGGCCCAGCCCGTCAGTGAACCCCAGCGGTTGCTTTCAGGGAGGGAGGCTGAATTTCCAAGGATGGAGGTCGGAGAAGCTCGCGTGGACGCGTGGTGTGGAGACTGGGGAGCCGAGACTCCGTGAGAGGCTCCGGCGGGGGCGGGGGATGGTGGAGGGTGGAGGATCCCAGCCTAGAAGGGGACCCCGCCCCCGAAGGGAGGCTCGACAGGCTTCCACGCCCACATCCCACGTTGCATTTTGCTGACAATAGCGATTGAAATATTTAGCTCAGAGCTTGAGAAACAAGCTGCTCCCCGACGAATAATCTCCTGAGGTTTAGATTCTCTTTATTTCTGGTAAACCGTGGATCTCACGTCTTCAAGTAGGCCTGTCACCGCGCCTGCGCGGCAATGACAGTAAAAGACTATCAGCCGACGCTCCCCGGCAGAGGGGGTATAGCTCAGTGGTAGAGCATTTGACTGCAGATCAAGAGGTCCCCGGTTCAAATCCGGGTGCCCCCTGGGTCTCGTTTTGGTGGGGCCCAATTTCTTTTCTTTATTTTTTGTTTCATATTTTTTCTTCCCTAATTTTATGTTAGGTTTCCTTTTGCCACCTCTCTTTCGGGCGACTTGAGGAAGGGCGAAAGAGCGCAAGAAAGTAGGGAATTCTGCAGCCGTGACTCAAAATGTGGTGGCCGGACCAGCACCACCACCTGCATGCAAACGTGTTAGAAATGTCTGTTCTCAGTTGCACCCCAGAACTACTGAATTAGAAACTTGGGGTAGTGCCCAGGAATATGTGTTTTAATAAGCGCTCCAGGTGACTGGTGGACGCTCGAGTTCTAGACTGACGTACCTAAACTGTACACGTCATTGTCTTCTGATGTTTTCAATTTGCGATTTCAGCCCGAACCCTACAAAGTGACAGCCCGCAGGGCACCTCCAACGGGGTCGAAGAGATGGGGCCGCGGCTGGAAATCCGTCCTGGGCGCCCGCACCCAGACCTTCTGCGGGGCGCGCCGGGTAGGTGCGGGGAAGCCCGAACCCCCCAAACGAGAGCGGCGGTGCACCCCGTGGCCACTTGGGGGCAACAGGAGCCGCCCTGAGAGCAGCAGCTGATTTGATCCTGTTTGAGAGTCGACAAAACTGGGATTTAAATTAGACACCGAGAAGAACTTACAGACAGGCCTTGCCTTATCCCAAGGGAAAGGACTAGCGGGTTGAGGGCTGGCCCGGGTAGTTTCTGGGACCCTGGAGCGTGAGGAGGGAGGAGCCGGGACCCTGAGAGATCTGAGAATCTTTAGTTCCTGTTTCTTGTCAGGTCCCCTCTTGGGACTGAGCGCCAGAAACCCTCCTTGTTCAGCCCACACTGTGCCTTCCCCTATCCCCACGCAAATCCCTACTCCTGGGGTCCCCCCAGGGCGCTCAGCTCTCCAGCCCCCTCACCCCTCACTCGCTCACCCTCCAGAGCTCCAGCTCCTTGCCGTCGCCCCAAGTAGGTCAGGGGAGGGGAGCGGCACCTCCGGCCCTGACCTGATTCCCTGACGTCTATTAAATCTCTTCAATTGAGGGTATTTTTATTCTGTCCTGGAAGAAAAAAAAAGATGTTCTCTCCCCAGAGTCTGGTACAAGATGGGGTGAGACGTCTCCTGGATCTGGGCCGGCTTTGAAGAGTGACTGGGTTGGCCCCCGGGCAGGCCCCGGGCCCCCAGGGAGGGGGGGTCCTCCCTTGCCTTCTGTGGTGGGGGCAGGTCCGGGCTATTTCAAAGAAGGGGTGAGCCAGGCACCCCTGTCTGCTGGGCTGGAGGGCACGGCAGTGCTGGAAATGGGGGGTGGCGCGACGAAGTGGAGTGGAGGCTTGGGGTGGGGGTGGGACCCGGAGCCTTCTCTGCGGCGGAGAGAAGCGGGGGGTCTCGGCCGCAAGGGGAAACGCCTGGGGCGAGGGGACCGGGAGTCAGAAACCGCCCAACTCCGAGGAACAAACCCAGAAAGCGGAGAAGCCTGGGGCAGCCGGGCGTGGGGCGCAGGGCAGCACCCAGGGCCCGGAGCGGCGTCTGGTCCCCGGCCCCCCTCTGCGGCGTCCCCGCGGGGAGGAGGGAGCCGGGGCTGGAGCCGAGGTGCGGGGCAGCTGCTGCTCCGGGCGGCCCTCCAGCGCCGGGTCCCGCGCCCGGTCCCCGATCCCGCCCCGCCCCCCGACGGGGAGCGGCGGCGGAGCTGTCGGGGAGCGGGCGGGAGGCGGGGAGCGCCGGGGAAGCCTCGGGGAGAGCGCGGAGCGCCGCGCCCCCCGCCCCGCCCCCTCCCCGGCCGCGCTCCGAGGCCGCCGCGCTGCTCGCCGCCCGCAGGCACCCGCGAAGCTGCCCGGCTCCCGCCGCCGCGCCCCTCGCCGCCCGCCCGCGCCCCTCGCCGCCCGCCCGCGCCCCTCGCCGCCCGCGCGCGCCCCTCGCCGCCCGCCGGGCCCCCGCCCACGCCGGCCCCCTCCCCTGCCCGGCCCCCTCCCTCGCCCGGCCCGGCTGCAGGGGCCGGGGGCGGGTCCTGGCCGCCACCATGCGGGGCGAGCTCTGGCTCCTCGTGCTGGCGCTCGGGGAGGCGGCCCGGGCGCTCGGGCCCCAGTCCGGAGCAGGTAGGACGGGCGGGAGTTGGCCCAGGTGGGCGCGGGGCGCTGGGGGGCCGGCAGGCAGGCGGGGGTGGGGGCCGCACCGATGGGCCGGCGGGGTGCGGGATTGCCCGCGGGAGGTCAGGAGCCTGCGGGCTGTGGCAGGTGGACAGACACCCCACTTTGCTAAACACATGCGGCGTGTGCGTGCTCCGACCTCACCTTCCTCCTGGAAGGACACGGGAGGGACCCCGGGAGAGGGGTTCCAAACGGCGATGGGCTGTCGCCCCCAAGGCGACGGCGGGAGTCTTAGGGACCCTGGTCACACCCGGACAGCCGGAATTCCGACGAGGTGGGAGCTCCTGCCCCGGGCTTGCCTCCTTTTTCTCTTCCCTGCCTCCATCCCCAAGCTGACCCGGGTGGGGGCAGCCAGAGGGTTGCTGGAGACTCAGCTTCTCTCCCCTGCAAGGGCAGTGGCGCCCGCCGCCTTCCTCTCCCTGTTTGGCACCTGGAGAGAGGCTTGGGCACAGGAGAAGCAACTTGCTGTCCCCTATCCCCAGCCCCAGGACCCCCGTCACCTGCTCTGCGCCACCCTGGTGGCCTGTGACCTTTAAGGGGTCTGGCCCAGAGGGGCTCCTATCCCTCTACACCTTTCCCACCTAGAAGTCCTTTCTAAGGTCTGCCTAGAGTCCCTTTTGTCACTTTACAGTCCCCTCTCTCCTCATGCACCCAGACTTTCTCTGGGCTTGGGGAGGTGGGCAATTTGCAGGCAAATCTCTTGACAGAAGAACTGGGAAGATGCAGCTCCACGCCTCACTGGCACGGATGCCCCTTGGCTGGCAGGAGTGGTGTGGAGGGTTGGCAATGGGAGGCTATGTCTCAGCCTGTGCTGGCATCAGGCATAGCTCCAGTGCTCTTGACTTTGCTGGTGGCAGTGTGGAGCAGGAGGGAAGGGAAGGGTGCTGGTGGAGGAGATGTGGGCAGAGGGCAGTGTTCACTGACGTGGCAAGAGGAGGCTTCTGGTGCCAGACCACCCGTTTTTAGGGCGACCCCACAGAGTGGCCAGAGACTTGGCTTCTAGTGCCAGCATTTCACTTGCTGTGTGACCTTGAGCAAGTTACTTACCCTCTCTGTGCCTGTTTCCTCACTTACACAGTGAGGCTGGGAGCCAAATCTTTGACTCGTGATGGTATTCTGAAAGGTCTTTTTTCTCTGTTATGTTTGTCTTTCCTTTTCTAGACAGACCTCAGTTTTTTTAAATGATGTGTGGGTAATTGTTAATTTTTAAAATACATGTAAAAGGGAGACAGTTGCGCAGGTCCATTTTTGAGGTCCTTTGCAGCCTCAACCCGGTAGGAGGATCTTCTGAACTCAGGATGTGACAGGATGGATGAGGGAGGGCCCTGAGCCCCTGATGGAGTTGGGAGGTGAAAGGGCCGGGAGGGGCTCTGGAAGGTTCGCCATAGTGGCTTGGTCCAGACCTGGCTGAGCACTGCCTCTTCAGAGTCAGGTAGACACTGGGGAGGCCAGAAAGAGGGGCCAGGCAGAGACTTGAATCTCATTTCTAAGCAGAGGACACCCTATCTTCTGGATGTTGACAGAGAATCCTCCAGGAGATTGGTTAGACCCAAGGAAGCCAGAGGGGCAGCTGTTGACTCAGACCAGGCCTCTGTCCATGGACCAGGCTGCACTGGGGTGGGGGCAGGCGCATGTCTTTTGTGTTTGAGATGTGGTGGTGGGACATCCTGGGGGAGGGCTGCTCAGGAGACACAGTCTGACTTTGGTGGGTGGTGGAGTCCTTGTGGCCAGTGAAAGGGCAGCAGGAGCTGGACCTGATGGGGTACAGCCACCCAGCCCCAAGCCTGCGAGTCCTCTGGGCCCCAGGGAGCCTCAGAAGGGAGCTGAGACCACCCTTCCCTTTTGATAGGTGAGCTTGTTTGGAGCCTTGAAACTCCATCTATGGAAAGACACACACCAGGGGCTCAGTACTGTGGCTGATGAGTGAGCGAATGAGAGGTGGTCACAGATCCCACTTGCTCCCGAGTTGATCTCCTTTGTCCTCTTTTCTTCCGAGTTGATCAGCGGTCTCTCCCTGCCACCTCTTGGTGCTTCCATTCTTTTCCCCAGACGAGGGTCCTTGGTGGGCCCCTGCCTGCCAGTAGGAGAGGAGCGGGTGCGGCTGGGGACTTTGTGACTGGGGGGCAGGGTTTCAACTCAGGATCTGGATCACTTCCCCTGCTGTGGAAAGTCAGTCCTCACGTGAAACGCAGGAAAGGCAGGAGCACCTACCAAATACAGCTTTTATCATTCCCGTTTTACAGATGAAGAGACTGAGGTTTAGAGGGATCGTGCAATTTATCCAGAGGTGCCGCCAGCAAGTGGCTGAGTCTTGAGCTGGCCTGGTTTCAAATGTGTGAGCTTTTATTGCTGAGATATTACAGTAGGGGTTTCCAGGGGCTGTGCCTCAAGGGGAGGCTCTTCTAAGGTCTGGGGATCTTCCTCCCTCTCTCCCTCTCTCTGCCTTTCGTGCGTCATCCACCATCCTTGTCTGCTTACTGAACATTTGCTCTATGTCACTCACCTGGAGCCTATAGGTGCACCGGTATCAGTGATATGTGGCATCAGGGCTGGCATGGTGTGTCTAACATTTGGGGTGAGGGGGGAGAGCTGTCAGGGGAGGCTCTGGGAAGTGACATCTCGCGAGACTTGAAGGATGAGCAAGAACTCATCAGGAGCAAGGTTTATTTGTGGAGCAGAGTGGTCCTGGCTGAGAAAACTGCTTGTGTGAAGCTCTGTGGCCAGAGAGGGCGGGGCTGGGTCCTGGAGAAGTCCTTAGGGCGACAGGAGGCTGGGGGTGGGGTGCCAGGATCCGGTCTTGAAGGGCTCAGGGCTGCATGAGCTGGATCAAGTCCATCCTCCAGGCTCTAGATGCTCTAGGCAGGGGTGAGTGGGCATTGAGGGCGGAGGATGGAGTGGCTACCAGGAAAGAGGAGGTGGTGGCCGTAACTGAGTGGCGGCCATGGGACTGGAATGACACCCTTGGGTGATGGATGGGACGAGGGTGGCTTGACCCTGGCACTGGAGCGTGGCAAGACCTAGCCTCCTGAAGTCTGCCCATTGCCTCCTGCCCCGGAGCAGGGCAGTGGCATGTGTGGAGGCCGTGCCACTGCCCCGGGGCTCCCCTTATCTGGCAGGGCCCATGGTCTCCCAGGGCAGCTCTCAGGCTCAGGCTCAGTAGCATCAGTGCAGGGCTCTGCCCATACACCAACCCCACCTGGGGGTGGGGGCTCCCCTGCTCCTTAGGAAGCAGGCTGGGAGTACAGTTCACCTCTCCTTAGTTCTGTGATCTGAGCACACCCTGGGGCCACTTGGCCTGAGGGTAAATCCTGCCTGGACTATCCTGGGCTCATAGTGTGACCTTGGGGGAGTCCTTAACTTCCTTGTGCTTCGACTTTCCAATTTGTAAGGTTGATGGAAAACCAGAATTATCTCCTGGGGTTACTTTAAGGGATCGGTTAAATTGATGTGCTGAGCGCTGGCATAGTGTAGGCACAGAGTAAGCCTTCTCTAAAAGTCAGCTATCATTTTTATTGTCACTGTTGCTGTTGTGACATTCCACCAGGTCGAATGCTACTTGGGGCCATGGGTGAATGAGTGGATGACTAGAGGAACCCCTTGTGCTCTAGAAGCTTCTTGCCATCACTCATAGGCTGGTACACTCACAGGCAGACACACAGAGAGGGTGCTGGGAAGATGGAATCTCTGCACCGGCAGAGGGTTGAGCAAGGCATGGCCAAGGGTTGTGTGGGTGTGCAACTCACGTGTGAGCACACAGGCAGGAGGACTGAGGCCTTCAGGCAAGTCTTCTTGTATGTGCAAGGGCCCGTTAAGGGGGGTATGTTCTGGCCTAGCCAACTTGGCAGGGGAAGGGTGGCAGGGATACAGATGTGGTGTAGGTTGAGAGGGGACCATTCAGGGCTAGGCAGTGCTCCCCAAACACCTGCCTCTCATTCTCTTGTTCTGATCTCTTTTATGGACTCTGCTGCTGACCCAGGCCCTGACTCCTATTTATAGCTTCTCATTTGTGTCTCCCCTGGATGCTCATGGCAGCCATAGGCTGGTCACCCCCACTTTAGTGATGAGAAAGCAGCTTTAAGAGGGAAACCTAGGGTGTCTCCTCCTTGCCCCCCTGTGGCTGGGTCTGTCCTCACTGCTCTGTCCTCTAGCCTCGGGCCTTCACCATCCGGGTACCCTCCTGCCTCAGTTGCGGGGTTGTGATGTCTACAGAACCTCAGCATCCCTTTCCAGGCAGGCTGAACCCCTCCATTTGCTCTGCACACGCGCCTTCCCTGTCCTGGCTCCTGCCCAGGCTCGAGGGCTGCTTGCAGGAGGACCCGGGGAACCAGGGAGGCCAGCCTGGCACAAACAGTTCTGTCTCTGGAGGCAGCTGCAGGCCCCACCCGAGAGGGGCAGGACAGCCCTGGCGTGGGGTCTGGGCCGTGGGCAGGCTGGCTTCCCAGCCTGGCTCAGGTCCATTTGTGGGCAGCTAGTGGGCATCTTGGGGAAGGGGTCTGGGAACCACCCCTCTCCCCACCTCCAGAGCATCTGTTTACTATTAGAGGCAGAGAAGTGAGAGGGGGCCGGCAAGGGTCCAGCAGGCGCCAGCAGCCAAGAATGACTTAATTGGATAAAATGTCTAATGACAAACTAGGGCCCCACAGCAGAGTCCTGGCCCCAGCCCCGGGTCCAGTCCTGGCCAAGCCTTGTCTCAGCCTCTGTCCTTGCCGGCTCCCAAAGTTACCTCCAGCATTGTGTTCTCAATTATGCAATGATTGAGCACCTACTGTTTGCACTCCTGAGGATACATAATTGCAGTAGAGGGTGGGAGAGTCCTGGGGAACTCAAGTCTACCAGGGAGAAAGGTTCATAGTTACCCATGGGTGCTCCAGGAGAGACAGCTACATCCAGCAGCTCTGGGGGTGAGTGGCAGCAGGCAGAGGAGAGAGAGCCTCTGACACAGGATGGGCCTGAAATTGGAGCTCAAGGAAGATCAGACCCACCTGCCGGGTGGTCTGAGCCCCACATACACACCATAGTAGGTGTGACAATTGGAGTGACGATATATGACACCTCTTTGGGGGCATAAACCTTCCTGAAGTGGAAAAGCATGGTTTTGTGTCATGAATGTGTTAGAATTAATTTACCGACCTAGAGGGAACTGGGGAGGTGGTGGGGCCCAACAATGGCTGCTGAGTGGCCTGCGAGTGGCTGCTCACCAGACCTGAGCCGCCCTTAGCAGACCTGAGCCGGGGCAGACATCTGCCGGGACGCTCGCCTGCGAAGCACACACAGAGCTCAGGAGGCTGCTCATTAGCCTGCTCCTGGCTGCCACTGATTAAGTAGAGGTGGCTCTTGAGATGAAGCCTTTTTGCCATCCCTGGCGGTGTGCAAGCTCCTCATTTCGTAGGGAAAGTGGCTTGTGAAGGTAGTGATAGGACTAAAGAGGCGTCCCCACTATGGTGACGTCTGTGACAGTCACAAACCCTGACGGGGGAGGGGGGTTGGGGAGGAGGGCATACTACTAGCATCTGTCATTTCTGCCAGAAAACAGGGATGCTGCTAAAAAATCCTGCAGTGGCAAAGTCAGTCAGAATGATAAAAACAAATACCGGACATTTACAGCGCAGACAGTTTCATAATGTAAAACACTTTCAAAAGCCAGTGGGCATTAATAAACATCCAGAGGGCTTTGAGGTTAAGAGGGAGGGGGAAGGGGAAAGGACACAAGGGATGGTGGGTGGCCACCTGGGGGAGGGGAGGTAGGCACTGACAAAAACAGGCATAAGTGGACATAAAATAAAATTAAAAATCCTGCAATCCCCATGACAAACCCCAAAACAAAGAATTATCCAGTCCATGATATGGATGGTACGGTGGTCAAGAAGTCCTCTGCTCTCAGGCCCCTGAGTCCCCTGGAGGGTGGGGTTCTGTCCCATTTCTGGAACAGGTTTGGAAGGTTCCAGAGCAGTGATTCTCACCCCTGCTTGCAGGGTTAAGTCCAGGGCTTCATCTCATAAGTTCCCCTGCGGATCACTTAAGAATTCTAATGCTGGGCCTCCCTGGTGGCACAGGGGTTAAAAGTCTCAGCACTATGCAGCCACTGAAGCATGAGTTTGATCCCTGCAGTGCCCCCCCCCACCTCCCCCAGGGAACTGACCACATGGTGCAGCAGACCTCGCCTGTCTCACCCATTGCTCCCCTCAGCAGTGTATTTCAGTAGATCCATGTGTTCTTCCCCCCCATTCTGTCTCTGGTGAAACCTCTCACCCCCGCAACTCTGGCCTACACCCCAGTTCTTGCATGCATAAATAAAAATAAATCTAAAAAAAATCAATCCTTATGTCCAGACCACACTGTAGACCAATTACACCAGAATTTCCGGGGTGGAACCCAGACATCAGAAATTTTTAAAACTCCTGCAATGATTTCAGTGTGCAGATGAGATGGAGAATAATCACCCTTTTGGGTGGCAGATCAACCTGGGTTTGAGACTTATCTCCCTCCTTAACCCGCTGCCACGTGAGGCTCATAACCTCTGTGAGCCGCTGATTCCTGTCTACAATCTGGAGAGCATCATCTCCACCATGGAGGGCTGGGCGAGGGCTGGAAGTGTTGTGTGAGCACAGTGCTTGGTGGGGAGCTGGGCCTGAGGCTCTCCACACAAGTTGGATGTCTCCAGCCGGGCGGTCAGTGTCCCCAAGGTCAAGGATGGGGTGGGGATGGGAAGCCTCCTTTACCCTGAACTGCCAGGGCTCAGCTTTCTGTCCCCTTCTCCCAGGTCAGGATGCAGGCCGAGGCCCAGGATGGGGCAGCAAAGGGACCACGCAGGGCTGGAACCGGAAAGCCCACGAGAGCCCTGCGCAGGTGTCAGAGCCGGACAGGACACAGCTGAGCCAGGACCTGGGTGGGGACACCCTGGCCATTGACACACTGCCGGATAACGGGACCAGGGTGGTGGTAAGTGCCAGAAGATGGTGGAGGGGCCGGAAGTAGTGGGGGTGGCACATAAATCACATGTCCTTTGGGGTTGACAGGTCAGCATGGAGAGAGCGATCTCAGGGCAGGAGATGAAAGCAGGACCCAGCCTGGACCATAAAATCTTAGCATCTCAAAATGTCATAGGCTGCCTCTTTCCTTGTGAACCTAGAGCATGTGACACAGGCTTCCTACCACTGAGCTCTCCCTCCAGCAAAAGCTGGCGCTGGCATTATCCGTTACATTCCAGCTGTTAGCGCGGCCCACCCGCTGTTTTGCCCACCCGCAGACCATGGGACCCCAAAGGGTTAATGACTGGAGAGGCTCAGTCTGACAGGGCAGTTTGAAGGTGGCTGAGGAGAGAAGTAATTAGGGTGAAGCTCCAGGTGAGAGCCTCCTCTGCCTGGGGCACTCTGGGGGCGGGGCGGGAGCAGGGACTCAAGGTGGTGGAGGTGCGGTCCTTGCAGTGTCTGACTCTGCTCTGCTCTGCTCAGCAGCCTCCAGCTTTCTGGGAGGCTAATGGCGGTCTCTGGCTGGGGGTGAATCTGTACCACGTGTGGGTGCCAGAGGGAGTGTGTTTGCACGTGTGTCTGAAGGTTCTTGTGCATCATGTATGTCTGCCTGTGTGTCTGTCTCCGTGGGCTGTTTGTTTGTGTCTGCGAGTGTGAGTTTCTGCACCAGAGTGTAGGAGCCTACGGCTGGGAGAGAATGGATTCCCAGAGCACAGGGAAACCATAAAACAAGAAGAAACAAGATGTGCTCCTCTGCATATATTTAATTTCTTTAATATTTTGAGAACTGTTTTTTTAATTCCAAGAAGAGCATAGTCAAAAGGTCAAAGAGCACTGAAATCAAAAAACAAAACACAGAGGTCCCCCCTCCACCCCGCTCCCGCAGGTGCCGCTTGGGACCCCACTTGGGTCTCCACTTGGAGACTGAATATTTGCTTATCCTGCTGCTTCTTGATTCACCCCTTTGGACATTATCTGTTGACTGCTTGTTGTGTTGATGAAGATTTGCTTTTTATACACTCTCTATGCCTCATTTTCCACTCTCAGTATTTTTGTTAGATGCTATGCGCTGTCTGCATATGTCATTATGATCATGTCAATACTGTTCACACTAATCCAAGCCCGGCAATATAGTGAACTTCCTATGACATGAGGAATCAATACTTTATTATAAAATAGGCTTTGTATTAGGGCCTTCCTGGTGGCGCAAGGGGTTTAGTCGCAGCACTATGACGCTATCTGCAGCCACTGCAGCACGAGTTCAGTCCCCGGCCAGGGAGCTACCCACATGGCACAGCAGACCTTTCCTGTCTCGCCCTCAGCAGTGTATTTCAGTCAGTCTGCCTGTTCTGTTCCCCACTCTGTCTCTGGTGAATCCTCTCACCCTGTACACCTCTGGCCTGTATGCATAAATAAATCTTAAAAAAAAATAGGCTTTGTATTAGCTGATTTTATGCAGTTAATGTTAATGTTCTGAGCACATTTTAGGTAGGAAAGGCTAAGTTAGATGTTCCATGGGGTAGGTCTTTTAAATGTCTTTTCGATTTAATGGTATTTTCCACTTGTGGTAAATTTATGAGGAGTTCTCTCTTCCCCATGACCCACTCCCTCAGAAACCTCTCTGTCTCCTGCTTCAGCCTGGACTGGCTGCTCCCCTGCTTGGCCTATAGCCTTCCTGGAAACCCTCTTTATCTGTCTACTGTGGTGGACACTCAACTCCCTTGACGCTGGTTCTTATTTTCCCTGCCTTACCCCTTATTTGTTTAGCTTCCAGAGAAAGGTTACCAGGTGGAAACTTCTTTTGAGAACTTGCATGTCTGAAAATGCCTTTACTTTATACTCATACAGTGGCTGCTGATAGCTTCATAGTGCTGAGACTTAACCCCTTGTGCCACCAGGGAGGCCCAGAATCCTTTCTTTCTTGAAGTGGGTGATTGCTCAGGGCAGGAATAGTTCATCCAGGAGTGGGCAGGGCGGCCAGAGACAACAGGGGTGGTGAAGCGTGTAAAAAGATCGTGGCGGGGAGCAGCCCACGCCTCTGTGCCTGAGCAACCGGTGGGCGGTCACCGGCCAGCCAGTATGCTGTGCCTGCCTCTCAGAAGGGGCTGTTGGACAAGAGCCCTGGCAGTGGGGGTGAGAGAGGGGCCATGCCCACCGCAGCCTGGTCTGGAGGGAATAGGGTAACAGGGGCTTCCAGCTCTCCCTGTTTCTGCTACTGATTTTTTTAAAAAGATTTATTTATTTATGCATGCAAGAACTGGGGTACAGGCCAGAGGTGTGGGGGGTGAGAGTATTCACCAGAGACAGAGTAGGGAACAGAACAGGCAGATTGACTGAAATACACTGCTGAGGGGAGTAGCGGGTGGGACAGGAAAGGTCTGCTGCGCCATGTGTATCAGTTCTCTGGCCAGGGATTGAACTCGTGCTGCAGTGGCTGTAGATAGCTTCATAGTGCTGCGACTTAACCCCTTACACCACCAGGGAGGCCCCTCTGCTACTGATTTTATCTCGGACTCCGACATGGCTTGGCATCATTACTGAGCCTGTATTTAAAATTTTGATATTTTGTTCATCATGTATCATTTGACATTAATTTTGACTTAAAAATATATTGTATGAAAATATTCTCTATCTGCATGACTGCGTGTTGACATGATGATCCTGCTCTGCCCTGTCTTCTCCATCCTGCAGAGATCCAGGTAGCTGTGGGGGGATGATGCAATGGAAGGTCGAGAGAATTTATCTGAGTGAGGGGACGCCTGGGGAGGCTCACCCCATCTGTAGTCCTCGCCCCCAGCCTTGTTGGGCTCTGGGTTAAAGTACTGAAACTTTCTCTGAGTCACGCACCCTGCAGAAGAGAATCACAGAGGCTGGAACTTAAGGAAGCGATTGACTGTGGGCATGTGGAAAGGACAGCAGGGATCGCTAAGAGCCGGTATGGAGTCAATAACCCCAGAGCTTAAAAAACAACACCACCAATTCTTGGAGTCCACCCTGGGTGGGTCCAGAAACACTAGAGAGGAGCCTGGGGGTTTCTTTCATTCAAACTTCCCCCTGGAAACTCACCGGTGACACTGTAAACCCAGTTTGAAAATAGGTTACTGGATCTGTCAGCATGAACTGAGACTTTCTCAGGCTCATGTGGCTGTACTTGATCACAAGACTTCCACCGACTGGGGGGCTTTGGGGCAGGGGGCCCTGGGGAACCACACATCAAGAGTTCGCATGAAGAAGCCAGTCCACCCTGGCTGGATCCTCTCTGACTGTCCAGCAGATAGGAGGATCAGACTCAGCCTTAGCTGAAGGGAGAGTTCAGATTTCAGATCGGAACCGAAGACCTCTTGGGCAGGCTGAATGATAGTTGGCCTCACACCAGATGAAACTACTGGGATAAATATAAATCCTGGCATTTAGGTTTGAATTAAGGTGGGAGAGATGTGGCTTAGCAGCAGTTCATGACGAATAGACTTGGGGCTACTCACTGCCTGTGGGCCGGGGATGAGTCAGGAGCATGAAGTGGCTGCCAGGGATGGAGGGGGGAGAGTCGGCTGGTTTATGGAAACCGGTGGAAACTCAGGGACCAGGGCTCGGACTCTAGGGGTCCTGTGGGGTGTTTCTGGGCTTGATCACAGCTGGAAGTCTCGTTCTGTGAAGCCCCTTTAGAAGGGGAAGCCCCTTTTAGATCTAGAAATCAAAGGAGTCCAAAGTGGTTGATGGAGCTTGGGGCTATTTGGCCTGGTATAGAGAAGGATCTAGATATGGCTATTTTCTCATAATTGTGACTGGGGCCCAAGGAGTAGACTATTTTGCTCCATAATACGTGTCACTTCCTATGTCCCCGAGAGTTGGGAAAACCTGACCCAGACAATGGCTTGGTGGCAAAAAGCCAAATAAGAGATAAGTGGGGGAAAGGTCATTTTGGCAAGTTTGGTTTAGTCTCAAAAAATTTGCTTGGTGGTCCTTCCTGGTGGCGCAGGTGGTTGAGCACAGCGCTGTGAGGCTGTCCGTAGCCCCTGCAGTGCCGGTTCGATTCCCACCAGCCTTGGAGCAACCCACCTGGCACAGCAGACCTCTCCTGCCTCTCCCGCTGCTCCCCTCAGCAGCGTACTTTGTCAGTCTGCCTGTTCTGTTCCCCACTCTGTCTCTGGTGAATCCTCGCACCCTCCCAAGCATCTGGCCTGTACCCCACTTCTTGTATAAATAAAATAAAATCTTTACAAAAAAAAGTTTGCTTGGGTCTCAACAGGAAAATGTTACTGCTCTTTATCCACATCACAGCCTAGTTCCTGCCAATAGGAGCCAGGTTCTGGGTCCCTTTGCTCTGGAGCCATATGGAAGGGCTGAGTGCCAGGCAGGTGGGCTGCCATTTCCTTTGCCTTATCCCTTTTACCCACCCCAGTGCCCCCTTATCTTCCTCCTTTCTTTCCCAGTCCCCCTCTTGGCTGTGGACTTTCCTTCTGGCCCAGCCCCACCACACGGCCCCATAGCAGATCTCTGGCCCAATCCTCTGACCAGCTTCCCCTCTGCTCCCCTCTGACCCAACCCCCTTCTTCCCAGTCCCTTCTGCCTGGCCCTTCTGCTCAGCCCCTGCCTGACCACCTCATCAAAGTGCTCCTTCTAGCTCATACCCCTTGCTATGGAGGCCTTGAGGCATCCAGCCTGCCCCCAGGGTGAGCTGGCAGCTCCCACCCACTGGCCAGAACCATCTCCTTGGATTTGATTCTCACACCCACTCTACCACCACTTCCCAGTGGAAATAGGATTCTTGCTTGGATTCAAGTTTTCCAGAGATTTTACACCAAGACCAAGCCTGAGGCCCTGAGAATGCTTGTGAATTTTTTTTTTTTTTTTTTTTTTTTTTTTGCGGGCTGTGTGTGTGTGTGGCAGGCAGGCCAGTGGAAGGAGTCATTGACAGGAGAGGTCTGCTGTGCCATGTGGGTCACCTCCCTGGCGGGGATCGAACTCAGGCTG